AAAAAAAAAAAAAAAGAATAAATAGTGGCGGGTCATTCATACAAGAACTTGTTTTTAACAGGTATCAGTTGCCAGTGTGCAAAAGCAACGAGGTAGACCAATGTAATTAATTTTCAATAAAATCATAAAATTTATTTATATACAGTAAAATCTTCCTATATAACAAAAGGCATGTTTTATTTTTATCTGCCGTTTTTCTTAAGTCAGTACAACAATTCCCTCTTCTTTCTCCCAGGCTTGTTATGAGATTAGCCTTCTCACAACTGATACTCCTAGGGAAAAGCCACCAGGCAAAATAAGTGAATGGGAAAGTGCCCAGACTTATTATTTATTAATTTACAATATTTTAGCCTTTCAGGACCTCTTACCATGCTATTTTCTCCAACTTCCGCTAGGTTTTGGATGGGGAAAAATTTATCTGGAGTGACAACATTTCTCCTTTCCATTATTATTTCTTGCATAAGATATTTAAAAAAAATTTTTTTTGGCATCATCTCTCTTTGAAGATAAAGAAAGCAACAGTAAATAGCCTGCATATTGGGAATTTTTCTAGATAATATTATTTAGACTTTCTTCATGAAACAAAAGAGGAGCCAAAATTATACTTTGTGTTAATTTCAGATAGTGTGTTTGGCTTAAAATTTGCTGTGCATTTTAGGACTTTATATTGTGTTAAAATTAACTGGCTAGGAGACTCTCGATTCCTAAGAAAGATTAGTCTTATTTCCCCAAATATATTTCTTGTGCACTTTAACAAATAAAAAGTAGATGCTCTGAATAGGTTTTGGGGCTCATGAGTCTATTAGAATACAAGCTTTTTGTATAGTACCCTCAGAGAGATAGCCCAACCAGGGCCAGTTGCTGCTGTTTCTCAAGCACAGGAGGCTGAGAGTGGAGAAAGGTGCTCTGTAAGAAGGCCGAGCCCCTCACTGGATGTGAAACTGCTGCCCTACACATCTTATTTGTTTAGATAATATGCTGAGAGCCGAATCTACCCTGTCAGATTACTCTTCAAGAACAAGCCAAGCAACTGAAAACCGAGTCCATGCTCAGCTAAGTCAAAGCCCAGGGGATTACTGGCAACACCACCCACCTCACCTGGAGCATGACAGTGCCTGTGAGAGCATAAGAGATGGGTGGTGTCACACTATCTTTCTCTTTCTGTTCTCCAAATTATAATAATAAATAGTCTCTTTTCCGCCTCTAAATGTTTTTAATAAAGGAGGTTGAACCTTAGTTCAAATTACTGTGGCTGGTTTACAAGCCACTCTGGAAAGTTATGCCTGGCATAAATTTAGCAGCTATGTTTTACAGTAAAAAGAAACCCAGGGACATAGCTTATTAAGAAGATATGGTCAAAGTGAGAATTTTCTTTGGTTTTATGAATAAATATAGCTATTATATTAAAAATTAGATTAATATCTTTGAACTCGATACTAGACAGTAAGTATTTATTAGGAAAGATTGAATTTTAAAAGTTGGACGCAAAATCTCTAACAAATTAAATTTAAATGTTTCCATTTCAATATAAATGCAGATAGTTCATGGTAGTGAAGTACATTGAGAAAACTTATTCTTTAAGAAAAATAACCTCTGGGTTAAAGATGGTAATATTATATCAGCAAAAAAAGATTTTTATCAAGAGAGTTGAAGGCTAATAGCATCATCAAGATAAAGATCAAGTAGCATGGAGGCTAAAATAAACCTTTGCTTTTTTGTGGGAGTGGTCAATAGAAACTGGCTCTGTTGCTGGAGATTCCGAATTTTAAATTCTGGCGATTGGACCAGTAATATGCTGATGAAGCAGAAATGTCACAGCATATTCTACTAAGTTGAAGATAGACAAAAATTATGAAAGGGACACGGAGAACCTGGTAGAGCTCTGTGTACTATGCTGAATTAATAAATAAAGAACTAACTTAAGGTGGACAAAACTGCTGGGTTTTGTCTCTCAGCAGTTTGTTTTCAAAATGCATTTTAAAACTTAAAGACTTATAATAATAATAAGAATAGTCCAAGTTCTGTTTATTTCCTTTAAAAAGGAATAAACATTTGAGGAGACAATTCTGTACTCCCACAACAGGAAAAATGCATCCTTTTACTGTGTGAATAATTTAACCACAGTCATGGCCCACTCTTCAGAAAATGGCTTATGTAACCTTTCAGTTCACCTGTGCTTCACAGTGCTCTTAGCTCTTGACACTCACCTCTGTAAACTTTTAGTTGTATTACCAAACATTGACACAAAAAAAAAAAAAAAAAAAAGAAAAAGAAAGAAACTTCCTTTATACAATTACAGAGCATTAGAGCAAAAGAGAACTGAAAGATGATCTTGTGTAGGTGACCATTTTATAGATAAACAAAAGCACAGAGTGACTTGCTGATGCCTTA